AAGAAAACATCAAAGATTGGTAGGAAAAGTCATCTACCTATCACATATGAGGCATATTCTGTCAGTATTGTGAGCCAACACATGGATAACCCAAATGAAGAGCACTTGGAGACACTAAACAAAAATTCTAAGGTCTCTCAAGAAAACTCTTAGTTATGGATTAAACTTTGAGAAAACCAAGAACAAAAATGTTAAAGTATAAACTAATGCTAGTTGGGCTGAGGAACTCAATAACAAAAGATCCGCCATAGGTTACTGCTCCTATATGGGACAATTGTGATAGCCTTATCCGCTTTGGCCTAGTGGCCTCACTTTTTGCCTCGTTGGTGTAAATTCCCACAATGAACATGCTTAATTTAGGAGTTTCTTTAGAAATTCTACCGTTACACCAAAAGACGCCTCGATGTTTAAGAGTTTAGCTTTAATCTCCTTATATTTCACAATATCCCCCATTTAAGTAATGGATGTTCTTATCAGTTTTCTTACCCCAAAATCATTCACCAGACAAATAAGATTATAAAAGTAGTCCCTAAAAATTCAAGAGATGGCTCCTATAGATTCAAGAGGTGGCTCCCATCATGTAGCACTTTGTCCCATCTAGGGTTCAAGAGGTGACTCCCATGGCATAGCACTTTGTTTTTTAGAACACTTAATTCCCATCTTCCAGCTAGTGAAATGCTTTGATAGACAGAACTTTAACCTACCAAGGTATTGTAAGTTTTGGCCTAGTGACCTCATAGTTTTACCCTATTGATGTAACTTCCCAGAAAATCACCCATCCTAAGATGCTCTAGCATGAGCATGCTTAAATTTGGAGTTTCTTTCAAAATTCCACCATTACACCAAAAGACACCTCGATGTTTAAGCGTTCAACTTCAATCTATTTAAGGACTTTACAAAAATTTGGTGACATTGAGAAGTAAGAAGTAAGTTGTTAATAGAAGCAATGTAGAATTAGAACATAGAACCCTCACCATGGGAATTTGTGAAGGGATCTAGATTCAAAATTTGTTAAAGAAATTGAAATGTACTTCCAATAGGCCTATACAAATGTTTTATTACAGTCAAACAACTATCCATATTGTCATGAATCTTATGCATCATGTCAGGACCAAGCATATTGAATTTGATAAACGCTTAATCTCTGAAAAGGTTGAAGAGAAAATTATACAACTAAGCTACATCTTGGCACACCAACAAGTTGCTGATGTCTTCACCAAAGCACTTTCTTAAGCACATTCTCAGAGTTCAATACCAACCTTGGTATCTACAACATCTATGACCTAGCTTGAGAAGTTTGAAAATCTGAGAAGATCTTGTGGAGGATTTGATTGGGACAACTTGGGAAACTCTTGATTTGTTTATTCCCTTCCTATTGTATGATATTTTATTTTTTATTTTAGAATTATTTCCTTTCCTAATTTAGGTTGGATATATTTAGTAAGTTAGTAAATTAAGAGAGATTGTTTTCCCTATATATATATATATGTACTCTACATGTGAACAATATAATTATGAGAGAATTATTCCTCCATATAAGTTCTCTACAAAAATATAAGTTTTGAGTTGTTAGATATGAAAATTCATCAGTTTTTTGTGGTATGTATGTAAATCCCCTTATGTCTTAAAAGCATTCAAGATACTATCAGTTCTCCAAGTTGTTGTTTGTTTAGTTATTGATATCATACATTTTGCTAACTTACCACACAAATGGCTCCCTTCCTCATTGCACTAATGATTTGCTTCTATCGCCATGGGTTGCCATTGTTAGCTCTATGTGATGCATTTTACATTTTTCCCCTCCTAAAATGACTTCGCAATTCTATTCTTCCGTAGATGCACCTCCAATCCATGGGTCATTTTCCCAGATTTTTTGGACAAATGAAAGGCAATTCTGATTTTTTAATCGTAGGTCTCTATTGCTTATCTTCTTGATGTTTACCATTGTCACCACTTTTTAGCATATGTCTGGATGTCGGTTGTATTGCTTTGGTTACAAAGAGCATGCATGATTGTGTATAGGTCTTACTTCGCGTATAGTTGTGCCTTTCTGCACTGTCACCTTGGTTTTGTTGTTGCCATGGCTTTATTAATTTATGATTTGAAGGCTAGTCTTGTTGCTCTAGTATACCATAAACGCCTTGTTTCTAGCTAATTTATTGGTTTTTTTCAACATGTTTCTTACTTGTATGAGCGTCCTCCACTGGTTTCAATGTTAAACTCGTTGAGTTGTTATGTTGATCTTAAGTGTTGGCAGTTAACAATGCATATCCATGCTGCTATGTTGCAGGAGAAACTTTGAACAGTCAACAACACTCTTAAAGAAAAAAAAAGGTATACTCGTGATGTATACCAAAATCCATAACTCGGTTTATTTTACTACCGTTTCTTATTTGGTATTGCCTTTTACATGCAACCACTGCAATCATATAGCAAGGAATATGAAGATAAATGCAGTTAAATTTTGGATGTAAGCCTCTCCATTTTCTCCTTATTAGCTGCATAGACTTCAAGTTATACACAGTTGTGAAACGTTTATTCAATTTGATGATGATGATTGTTTAAAATCATAAATATTTTTAGTATGATTTTTTTTTTGGTGTGTACTTGGTGAACTTACCAAAATATTCACCCGGCAGCACAATGAAAGAAAGCAACATACAATATGTATCAATTTTCTCTGTTTATGTCAATTATTAGACAGCAGGGATTCAATAAATCTACACTACCTACATAGAGATGCTTGTAATGATCTCTATTATAATCATGCTACTAATTCTATTGATTATTTAATTGTGCTATGATGTCGTTGAATATTTTAATGTTTTTATAATGTTATTCCTGTTTTAAAGTTTAGGTGTCTATCAATTTTTAAATATATGCTTTGATAAAGTGTAACATGAGCTTATCAAACAAAATCGTCTGCACTTTGTACTATGATTTTGCTTTTGTCAGCCGTGATTTATGAGAGAACTAGAGTAACATATACACATATATTACAACATACAAAAAAAAAAACACTAAACACATTATTTCTTAAAAAGAAAAATATAAAAAACAAATAACAATATGAGTATGATAAGGACAATTACCAAGAATTGTCGAAGAAAAAAAGAAATATACAACAATCCAAAAAAGATAATATGAAAATCAATGATGAAATATCCTATGGATTATGGAAACTGTAAAATACTTATTTGGATCATCAAACCAAAAGCTTTAAGAATACACAGGAGTCACGATGGCGGAATGCAAGCCTGAGAAATTTAAAACACAATAACATTTGCAAAGAAACGAGGAGGGTAGGGAGCTAAAGTGACAATTTCCTGAGGAAGTAAAAGAAGTATTTGTAAAGCAGAGAAGCACCTAAATGGAAGTTAACAACCAAACTGAGAGTTCATCCATAATCCTTGGAGCAGCCAAATAATGAGATAGAAGAGGTGGGATACATCGGAAAACCGACGACGAAGGAGGACAAAAAATGGGAGAAAGATCCTAGTCAAAGCTAGAACCAAAGGAATAAAACAAGTATGATTATAAATGTGAAAGGAAGAGTAAATAAATGGTTGGCAATAATACAATAGAAGATGTTTAAGAAAAGGATCACCCTATGTGCCAGTGGAATTGAAAGCAAAAGCCTAACCAAAGCACAAGTACAAGAAAAGCGAGATATTGATGCCATGAGGAGTTCGCTTCAAAAAGTGAAACACAAACAGGTTTGTGACTTGCAACATGGAAGCAATGGGATCAACAACAAAAAAGAAATTCTTGTGAAGAACACAATGCAAGGGAAGTGCGTATGAGCCCCAATCAAGATAAAGGAAACAATGCAAAATAAGTATGGATATGCATTCTATTTAACATTATCACATTATTGTTTTCCAACAACCTAAAAACTAGGATCTCACCAACTAAAATCATCATAATACTCCAATTGTTTCAGAGATGTTCAATAGCATTTTTCCCATTGATACTTAACAAATAATCTAACTTTTCAAGAACCTACAATTATCAATTTATTTGCTCTTAAAAGAGGATTTGCAATAAGCTTTCAAAAGCAAAGATAAACATTACCATCACCGTGACCACCACCTCCCTTGGCTTCATCCCAACTATTGAGGGTGAGTTTTGTGAATCATCATTTTCCATTCATTCCTACTAAGAGATGCCTCAGATACTAACCTTAAACAGCATAATCTAAAATTAGGAAGATCAATTACATATGGAAATAATACATTTTCTTTTATCTTCTTCAACGTACCCGTCATTTCAGTGGGTTGATATAACAATAGCTGTTATAAATTACAACAGTTAAGGGTTTATCTTACAAGTTATTGAATCTAGTGTATTAAGAATGACATCTATAACTTTACTCGTCCTTAATTTTAAAATTATCAAGATTTGCAACAGGGGCTTTGGAGATTGTTTTAATTAACACGTTCATTAAGATTATTTACTAATTAGCTACTTGTTAAAAAGCTAATTTAATTTATAATTAAACCAACACAAACTTTTGCTAGATTGCTAAGCTTCATGTTTCCCTTTGGCTCATTATCAAATTACTGCTTCAAATAGTCAGATTGCCTGGCAATCAATATAGAATCTGCAATGACTTTCTGAAGAAAATAAACCTACACTTTGGAAGTTCCAAAAGCCTAAAACTTTTTTTCCCTATATTTTTTTTTCTTGCAAACATGCTCCTGACTACGAATTCTAGGTTAAGAGATCATTAGAATCCCTCACTCCCCTTGATTAAAAATACCTAAAGCAGAGAGATCTAAAGTTGCATAATAGCTTGAAAAACACACATGACTAAACTTAAATGCAAACAGCAGATAACTTTTCTCTCGTCCAAACAACTCAGTCAGCTAACCAAAACTTCTCATACTAATAGAAAAAAAATAAGTGAAGAACTCAGTAGCCTCATTCCTAGCTAAGTCATAACACATAATTAAAGCGAAAAACAAAGAAGAGAAAAAAGTGTTCAACCGATGCATCACCTGAGAGCAAAAACCCTTGCAAAAACATAATAAATCCATATATGCTCTCAATCCCAGTTCCTCCCCTTACAAATCGCCCTCATATACAATGTCTTCCAGCAACAAAAGTCGATTTTGAGCAAAATCCAGCTTGAAACATCACCACTTGCTGCCTGAAAATAACACCTCCGATCATCGCAATGAAGAGTGACGTCCAAAAATTATTAAAAAAATCAAACGGGAATTCCCCTCCCCCTTACCTATCAGTCAGACTTATCGCTTCGTGGAAGAAGTCTCCAATAAAAGAGAGAAAGCAATCTCCTTTCTCCCAAAAAAATTTTAAAAAAAAACCCTTCGATCTCCTGCTTTCTTTTCTTCCCCTTTCTCCTCCTCTTCAGTACCGGAGATTGGAATTGCGTTCAATCTTCCCGAATCGAAGCAAAATTTGAAGAATGAGAAGCGGACAGAATCGGGTGTAACCGTTTCAGCGCGAGTATTAGGGAGGGAGAATGCAGTCAAATAAATTAGGGGGAGGGAATAAAAAATAAAAAATAAAAAATAAAAAATAAAAAGAGAAAAATAACATTCAGACCACCCAAGACATTGATATTTACAACTTCAAAATCATCTTTCACCCATTTTTCAAGAAAACCCCCATTTTTTATTAAATTTCCAATAATTTTATCGTGACACATCACTTTCAATACATTCGTTCTCCTGACATGCAATTGTGTGCACGATATCATGTCATCCATATCATCAACCGCAAGTTCAATTATCTTGACGTAATATTTACATCTACATAAAAGAAGAAATAATTTTATTTACTAATAAATAAATGTATAATAGACGAATAAGAAAATCAAGGAACATAAAACCACAAATATATTAATTAGGACTATATTACGGCATATCAATCATAACATAAATCAATACATATTTGACATAGATAGATGTTTACAAATGTATGAATTTACTATATCACAGTTGTTACATAAATATGTTACTTTTAGGGTGAAAGATTACAAATTATTGTGTTGGTCAACGACATATTAAATGAAATATCTATCGTTGACCGAATGCAGCCGCAAAGCAACGGTAACTACAGCTGCACGCGACACCAATAAGAAGATGACCGTAAATTCAAATTTAAACAATAGAAAATAATTTATTGAGTGATGGGCATTTCATCAGTTACTAGAAGATGGAAGGAATTGGAACGTTGTTTTTTCTAATTCAGATATTTTGATATTCTTCCTTCTAACCAATGTGTTATATATTTGACCCGATCTTATAAATCATTTTGTTCAATTTAAACTTTCTGACGGCACCGAGGTGTTTTATGTAATTATTGGTTTTTCATTTTTTTTTGTATGATAGTATTTTACTATCTCTATGAGAAATTATAGTAAAAAATAAATAAATCATTGTAAGAAGAGTAAAGTGTCAAAATAGTCTGATTATATGCAAGGGGTTATTTTACTCCCATGATTTTTAGAAGTGCCAAAATAGTCTCCGACTATTGTAAAATGAAGCTTTAATAGTCATCTGTTTGGGACAATTTTAGCCTCAACTTCAAGAGTCTGATGACTATTATTATACTTCTGTAAATTTTAGAACTAAAACGACACAGAGTAAATAATCAGAGACTATTTCGATGCTTTACTCATTCTAACAAACAAAAAAATAATTTATAAGTGATTGAGGTAGGTTTTTTTAAATATACCATATAAAAATAAATTCCATCATTACATGTGATATTTCAGCATAAAATATGTGTCAAGTGTTAATTTGAATACATTCACAAAAAGAGTTTTGAATATGCATTGCTCCAATTATCATTCAAGTTTAAGCAAAATATTATACACCTCCATCGATTTATTTTGAGCTTGAAGAACTCCCTTGAGTGGATGAGAGACATGTACACTATTATTTGTTAAAAGGCAATAATATTTCCATATATTTGATCAAATACTAAGAGATTGAATGAGAAATGTAATCAAATATAAAATCAAAAATTTTTCATAGGTTGGATGGACAAATAGAAAACTTTTCTTGAAAAGTATTATAATGTTTTGGTATAGGAAACATTTTTTTTTTTTTATGAATCATCAAATTATATATATACGCTTTATTACCTTTTAAAATCTCATAATTATGAATTATTATGATTATTATTATTTTAATTTAAATTTATAATCTAAATATCTTAAATTATAAATGATCTTATTAAGTATTCTACACTTACACGCATCTTATAGGTTACCCAATATCTCACCATCTTCATCATTGTTAACATGAATATCCTGAAATAAACAAATAAATAAAATGAAAATATCACATAAAATTTATACAAAGCCAAATATAATTCAAATATGCTCATAGAATCAGCAACAACTTGGTTCTACCATAGGCCCCGTTGCCTGAAGAGATTGAAAAAAATTTAACAACACTTAGTTGTTTTCATATAGAAGTTTTTCCATACTTCACAACAACACCACACAGGCCACATAAGAACAATATTACAAAAAGAATAAGAAGAAGAAGAAGAAGAAGTTAGCTTAAAAAGGTAAACCATAAATAAATAAATAAATAAACACACCAAGCAATGGCAAATAGTAAATACATATGTAGAGAGAAAACATCAATAGTTGTACAATTTGTTTAAAGCAAGTACATTGGACCCTTATTTGGTATTCTGCGGTCTTTAAAATTATGATTTGAATGAAATAAATGATGTATTAATCATTGCTCCCAATCAATATACTCAATAACACCTAATTTTGACAGAGACATCATTAGAAAGACTAACTCTCTAAGTTCTACTTACAATTAAGAGGTTCGTAGCTCTGTAAAAAATGTAACAATTTTGTAAACTCGAATTACCTGGCAAGAAGAATAATCAATGGGCATTGCACTCATTTAGGCCTTGTTCGGAAGGGGGAGGCACTCCAAACACCCAATCAAGCACATTGAGGTACTTGGATCTAAACACTTCTCTCTCCTGAGCATAGCAATGCATTATGATGGCCGTCGCCAAGCTGAAGACAACCACATCAGCTCTCTTCAATCTGGAAGCTTGGGGAAGAAGGCCGGCCTCTGCCGCACAGCTGAAGAAGCTCTCGATGGCTCGCGCAAAGCAGTACAGTGATATCTCTATTCTCCGGCTCTTCTTCTCAATCGCCAGTGCCAAACCAGTCAAAAACTGTAAATGGAGTGACTGTGTATGATTAGAGGAGGAAATAAATTCATGCTTGGAGTATAAACTGAGTGGATTAATGAGCCAGAAACTTTACAGTTCCTGCTGCAACCAATGGAATGTTGCATCTGTCAAAAGTTCTGAAGAGCAAGCAAGTCCAACCCCTGTGAGATGAACACAAATGTAAATTAATCGTCTTAAAAAGGAAATTGACAACTAGCTGAAGGCAAATTTTCTCTCCGGTGTTAAATTTAGTTTATTAGTTGTTGTTTAAGAGATGGTCCAGCACCATGACTACATAGAAATGAAATTGATGTTTTAGATATGGTCCTCATTATAGCGGTGATGCTCAAATCTGTTTTGTTTGTAGGACAAAACATGAAAGGTGATGTTTTAGAAAAAACTGGATATTCTTTGGAAAGTAACCCCCAACAAGAAAAAAAAAACATGGACTGAATGTTCAGTTCTGGTGGATTCTAGAGAGAAAGGTCTGTGAAACCACAAGCCTCTGATCCTGGGATTCCTGATTACAGAACCCGCAAGAACACAAACAGATTTTGCAGAAAATTTGTTGCCTCCGAAAACCAGAAATATGGAGAAAATTCCGGAGCAGGAGTAATGAAGTAAAATTGAAAGAGAAAGAATGGCAGAACACCACTCCAGAATACAGAAAACTAAATCCCGTGTGAAGAAATGGGCAGGGTACAAGTTCAAACTTAGGCTCCGTTTGGGGCCGCTTTTTTGCGGCTTCGCGGCACCGAATCGCGAAAATCCACCTTTTGGCTCCCAGCGTCGCGGCAGAACGAAGCTGAAACGGAAGAAAAGCGGGCCGCGATATCCATCCCGCGGCCCCAGCTTTCGCCTCGTCAAAACATTTTTTTACCCTCGGCGCAAACAATCCTTCTCCCGCCTATTCCCGCGCGCGTTCTTCTTCCCTCCCGCAGACCAAACCCTCTCGGCGCAAAGAATCCTCCTCCCGCCTATTCCCAATCGCGAAACTGAATTGATTGCTGGATTGCAGGGCGCCCTGCGGTGAGTCGGGCAGGGTTTACGCTAAGCGGAGAGAGGAAGCGAATGATTTTGAGTAGAAGGCAGGACATAGGTTAGTGGGAAAGTTGCGAAGCTGTAATGGTTGCCCTTTCGACTTGGCTTCGCTACGCTGTAATTAAGTTCGAGTACTCCGTCTACATCAGCTGGAAGGTGAGCTTCTCTTCCCAACATCCCAAATTTATCCATGCGGAGAAGGATGTGACCGTGATTTCGGATTCATGACCTATCTCGTGTCCATTGATTTCTATGTTTTGTGGATTTAATGACGGGCTAATTCTTTTCTGATTCTTGCCCTTTTCGATTATTTGTCTTCCACAGTTGCGGCCCTTTTATGAGGATTTCGGATTCGTGGGGTAGGCTGGGATGGGCTTTCAATTGTGTGTGTGCGTGTTGTTTTTGCTCTTTTTTGTGCTGGATTTGTTTTTTCAGCTTTTGGGGATATGAATTGATTCCTGGTTGTCTTTTGTTTTGATAATCCTATCACCTTGCTTAAGTATGTACAAGTTGCTGCAAAAGGTTTATGTCCTCTTTTATGAATTATTTGTATCTTGCCAATTTCTACCTTTTGACTAGTTCCAAGAGATTAGGGATCCAAGGCCCAAAAGAAGCTGATTTTATCACTTCGTATAATGTATTGATGTAATGAAACCAGAAATGGAAGGTATCCATGAAGAGAGGGATAAGGATACGGTGGTATCATATGCATGTATGGTTTAGAAGGGGCTTATTAAGAGGTTGATATGATGTTGGAATGAGGTTCCATATAGCTACATGGAACTCTGTGATGTTGTGTTATGCAAAACTTGTTGTCATTGTAACAACTTCTGTTGCTATTAAAATAATCGTATGTCTAGTTGTTATTTAAGTTCTGTTATTTAAGTCGTCTATATAATGTGGACTTTATGAATAACTTGAGCCCTAGTTTCAGAACTGAAATTTTGTTTTGGGAAGGTATGGCTTAAATGCTGCAATTGAGTTTTTTTTCCCCCAAAATTCTTTAACAAGCTTCTGGCTAAACTTGTCAAATAGATTTTTTCCTGTTGGATTTATTTTCCTTATGAAATTAGTTTCTTCATGTGCATAGCCAAAAACTGCAGGGTTGACTTAAGAAAGATCTAGTGGCTAGTTACAGGATATGCTCATATAGATCTTGGTTGTTATATTTGTTCTTGATGGACCTGTTCAAGCTAATTTCAGAATATAATTTCAAAAGGGGCATATTTGTAAAAATTAAAATATTGCAAATAATGCAAAATATTGTTTGAACAATTAACATAAAAATAATTGAAAGCTAAGAACTCAATAATCATAAAGCCATAAAAAATAAGGATTAGGAAAAACAATGAAAATTTTTTAGCTAACTACCATCTATAGGACAAAATTCTTTTGCTTTGCATTGCATGTGATGCAATTTCATTGTTTGAAGGATTCCTTTATCCCAAAATGACTTGCCTTCCATCCAATCAACGTACCCTTGGAACACCTTGCACCTAAATATCACTACCCTATCATTTGCAATTGATGCTTCCAATCCTTGGCGATCATTGTTGCTTCAAAATTTTACATCAAAAGTATTGCAATCATTAATTCCAACTATTGTGTTTCCCTCTTTCATACCTCATCTTCTTGTTATCATGGCTTGCTTCTCCGCACCATAAAAGCATAACTTTCAAGTTGAAGTGGCCTCATTATTTCCAATTTTTTCTCCAATAGTTGGGACACCACTTTCAACACAGCATAACATGTTGCAACGCTCGATGCTTTGCTCACATGATAACATTACACCACTTTTAGTTCAACATAATGTTTTCTCCAATAGTTGGAACACAACTTTCAACACAGCATAGTAGTCATACTACTACATGTTGCAACGCTCGCTGCTTTGCTCGCATGATAACATTACACCACTTTTAGTTCAACATAATAGCCATAACTCTAGTACATATTGTGACATTTGATGCTCTCCTTCTATGATAGCCCTTTTAGATCACCACTGCAATTTAGAAACACTCTCTATTAATATTTCAAATTCTATTTCCACCGTTGTTGATTTTTCAAGGTGGTAATTTTCTATCATTCTCATGATGTTGCTAGCTGAAAGATGAAGTACAAACATAAAAGCACAGTGAGAACTAGGAGTACCCGTTGTTGATTTTTCATGGTGGTAATTTCTATCATTCTCATGATGTTGCTAGCCGAAAGATGGAGTACAAACATAAAAGCACAGTGAGAACTAGGAGTAGAAAAAAAATACAACTACTACAACAACAACAACAACAAGCCTTTATCCCGCTAAATACAACAACAACATAATTGCTATGTTTTTTTTTATGAAACATAAAAATTGCATGGTATGTATGTAAATTTCTCTAAATATATTTGAGGAGTCAACCACATGAATACTTTTTCTCCATTATGTTCTATTGAGTGTCATATTTTCATTTAATTCTAATAGATTAAGATCATTTTTATAAAATATGCCCAAGTCTATTTTGGCCTACTTCTGACGTTCTTAACATCAGTCGAAGCTAAAACATCTACTCTCCTAACCGGATCATCAGATGGTCGACGTTTAATGTGACCAAACTATCTAAGACGATTCTCTCTAAACTTGTCGGCCAACAGAGCTACACCAACCCTATCATGGATATATTCATTTCGCATGGTTACAGTCTTCTTTTAAACAATTTAACAGACAGGGGCAGCATGATCATTTCTCCAGAAATAGCAGCCCCACAGCTGTTTTTACACAGCTGCACCAAACAGAATGCTTCTCTTTTAAAGGTCAACTTTTTGTGCCATAGAGCATTGCAAGTCTCCCCACCATATTATAAATTTTCCTTTCAGTTTAAGCGGTACTTTTACAGCTTTCTGAGGCAGCGCAATTGCGCCAAACAGAGCCTTAAAAAACTCTTTCTCTCTAACAAAAGATAGGCCAACCCTCTCAACCCAAGGCCCTAAACAGACTGATGCCGATAAAAAAGAAATAATTACAAGTATGATACTCCCAACCCACACAACAATAAAAAAACAGATACGACGTCATTCTCCCGAGAATGGAGAAACTTCTTCTTTAAATTCGACATCTGAATCAGCTTCATAATGAGGAGATAAATCTGCAATATTGAATTAGATAGCGGGCAATGCAGCCAAAAGTTTGAACACTTGAGATGAGCAGCCGGTTGTGGAGAGCGACTGGCAAAGTATTTCTAAGGTTGGCTTACCCTAGAGATGATACCATGTTATGGAGAAAGATTTTTATTGTGTACTGTTGACTGGTTATAAATTCCCATACATAAGCAATGAGGGAAATCATAAAAGGAAGAAAACAGAGAAGAAAATATCCTCAATTATTATGAGGATATGTTAACAGCAAATCACATTTCTAAAGTAGCAATTCCTGCAAAAACAATATTTATTTGAAAAGTTCTACCCTGCCGTTTTTGTAAGAGACGTGAAAATAAATATATTTTACCGCAGGGTAAGAGCACACTTAGCATGCATGCCTTGAACACGCTGCCTAATTTATAAAGAGGAAATTAATAATCCATCAATCGATGAACTAAAATAAGGTGGTATGAGATAGGATAAAAGAAAGGCACATAAACAGCAAAACTGTTTCTTTTAAACAATTCAGAAATAAATAAAGCATCAAAACTAACCAGGCTGATGTACAGTATACAGAGAGAAACAAGCTTGATTTCGCAGTGCCAATAAGGCTCCTTGCGAGAATGGTGTAGGGCCTGTGAAGTATCAACAAAGTTGTGAGAGACAATGTTTTGGTAAAAGTCAAGCTCAACTTATAAACAATGGCAAAAATTATTAAAAAAAAAAAAGAGGGAAATCAATGGTAGACAAATTAAAATACAAAGTTATTGAAGAGTCTTATTGGTAGTGATATGGCGCACAAAATAATCATTGTTCACTGAGGAAAGAAGTTGCTTCCCAAGTGCATTCTCCATAATCTTGAATTTCTGTACGTAATAGAACGTGGCAGAATTCCAGTTGTGTTTATAGCATTCAAAGTTGTAGAGTAACAAAATTTTCAAAACCAATACACTACCAAGCAACACTTTAAAAAACATATTGCGAATTCACAGCATAGACAAAAGCTGATGTGACAAAATCCTACATTTGCCATTGTGTGTCTGTAGCTCCCGCTTTTTGCAAATGGTGTTGTTGCAGATAGCTTCTACTATTTTCATTGTATTCAGACAATACAGCACGTCGCTTCTAGGGGACGCCCCAACATTTACACAATAATTTAAGGATTCATGTCATAATTTTTAATCAAATTTTTATATAAGTTGTTGACTATTTAATGCAACCCTCCACTTTTTGCATTCGGGACTTGGGACTGTTAAAAATTCCTTAATAGAAAATAGCTTAATCAGAAATGAAAGAATTTGGCTGAGATTGCCTCGGGAGTAAATGAGTTCCCGAGATTTGGGAGTCCACAAATCCCGCTCGGAGATTCAACGGGATCTTAAGATACCATCCATTTCGCAGAACCAGCTCTTGCGTCACATGCATGAAGAGAGAGTTGTTTCTGAGTCAACATATCCCAATGATGTTCTCTAATTTTTCCAATCTAAATGAGATCTCCATGTATACTTGCTCCTCAAGCTCCCCATTAAAAAAGCATTCTAATTAATGTCAAAATGATGTAGAAGCCAACCCTATTTTTTCACAAGAGCCGAAAACTGGAGTTGTCTTAAGTTTAGCAACTGGAGAACAATTTTCTTGATATTCGTTATTATGATTAAGTGTACCCTTTAAAAACAAGTCAAGCATTTAATATATCCATATATCGATTTTACATTTAACCATAAAGATCCATTTGTATTCAACTAATTGTTTTCTTAATGGAAGTTCATAAACTTCCTATGAATTATTCATTTCTAAAGCTTGAATTTTTTCAACAATATATTTCTTTAACTTAGGAATTTTAAGAGTTTCATGAATATTATTTGAACTCTATATTTATCAAGAAAAGTGACAAAAGAGTAAAATCAGGATGGAAGCCTTTCTTTATAGCAACAAAATAGCAGAGATGAATATCATCATTTATAGATTTATTCAATCCTGTTTGTGCTTCATAGTCTTAGAACCAAGATTGAGTTCATGTGTGCATGTGATTTGTGCGCTTATTTGATTTGGGGAGAATCCGATAATAACACCTTGATAAATTTAGTCTATTTTACTTGGTGGTGCAAAAATATGAATGAAGATTGAACAACCCCAAATTTTTTTAGCAAGAGAAGAAATGATTTTAATATTAGGAAATGAATAAAAGAGGGTTTGAACATGGGTTTGAAATTTAAGCACTCTTAAGGACATTCAATTTACGAGATATACAGTTGTTAAGAAAACTTCCCAAAAATACTTAGAAATATTTGTGAAGAATTTAAATGATCTGGCCACTTCTAAGACGTGTATATTTTTCTTTTTAGTAATCCAATTATGTCAAAGGGTGTTAACATAAAAACTTTGGTGGATAATTCTTTGTTGTAGGATACATTTTTCTAGGCCCATTTCAAAGCATTCTTTCGCATTGTCAATTTTCAAGACTTAGATTTTAGATACAAATTGAGTGTGAAATACGGTGTTCAAATGTTTAAAAATTTATACAACTTTAGATTTTTCCTCCATTTAAAAAAAAATCAAATGAGGTGAGTATGAACATCAATGAAGAAAAAAAAACCAATCTAACTCTAAAGACATTTTTTACTCTAAAATATTCCCATTCAACACTAGACTAAAATTAAAGATTGGAAAAACTTCTAGGTTCGATTGGGATAGGAATTACAACTATGTTTATGCAATTAACAAAATTTTATATTGAGAGACTTCTTTGTTAGTGAATAGAGAAGAGATTAAGTTATCAAAATAATTAATGTTTGGGTTTTCCAGGCGATGATGTAAAAGTCAATCATGGATTCAATATTTAAATTTTGTTTTAAGCTGAAGGTTGTTATGGATACACAACCTTTTCTTTGAGTCTGTTCTTCATGGAATAATTTATAAAAGATAGTCTTGACAAATCTTTATGCTGCAAATCATCATCCCCGAGTTTAAGTTTTAAAAGTTACACAGATTAAATATGAAATTGACAACACATTTTCTGCCTTGATTGAGTTTGTTAATTGATCATAAGTTGTCATCTAGGTTATGCACTAGAAGCACAAAGCCCTGTCAATTTTTTTGAAATATATGACAATCTATTCCAACCGATTTTGATCAATCTAAATGATAATGGAGTTAACCCAAATCACATTACCAAAAGCAAATATGATTACTGAAAGAAAATAAGCGGTTACGATCAAACACACTTGAAAGGAAAATTACAACAAACACGACATAAATTCACACTAGGGCACGATCCATGGGCGGTCGAGATTGGCTAGGTGGTTGGGGAGTGGAGGTAGGTGGCTGAAATAGGTTGTAGGTGGTTTGGACAGCAAAATGAGAGTTTGGAATCACATTGGCAGCGAAGCGGAGGGCCTGGGTAGCGAGGGAAGCAAGTGGGGTGGCAAGCGGAGCAACGAGGCACGGTCGAAAAGGCTAAAACGACCAGGGGACAACAAGAAAACAGCATGTTTGTTGTTTTCCAAATGACAAACATGTAAAGAAAACAGCATGAGAAGGCTGATCTTTAGTTTGTTGTTTGTAGGATCGTTAACGATCTGATTTTGAACCGAGCTGGGGTCGGCTCAAATTGACTCAAATAAATTTCGATCCAAAATTTTGGCTCACAGCTCGGCTCGTTTCTTTCAATCCAATCTTGTTTTGAGCCAAAATTCAAACCAATTTTTGAGCAATTAACAAACTTCGAGCTAAATTCGTTAAATTCATAGCTCTAATATTAGTAGGACTGTTAACGATCCGATTTCGAGCCGAGCTGGGGTCAGCTCAAAAAAAAAATTTGATCCAAAAGTTCGACTCATTTATTTTGATTCGAGCCAAAATTTGAATAAATTTTAGAGCTATTAACGATTTTCGAGCTGAATTCACAACCCTAGTCGTCTGAATGACTAAAACAATAAGTAGAGAGTAGTTATAATTTGCTTTTATAGCTCGTTATGTGTGAAAATTTTTAATTCATTATTTCATCATGGATTTTCTAAGTTTCGGATCTGGGTTTCAATTTCGAAGATGATTTATAGCATTAGAGTTAATGGGTTCTTGGCCATTACTTTGTGCCAATGCCTTCATCATTTTTTAAGTAATTGCAACCATCTTCTTTCCAAGTAGATCTTTTACATAAGGTTTTTCATTTTTGTTAGGCAAAGGTTAAGTATTGTTGAAAGACCTGTCGACAAAAATGACACCTAATTTGAAGGATCATTGACCTCCCTGGAAGTAGAACCTTAATATCTATGATGTCATCTTGAAAATTAGAATCTAAACAGATGATAGCAAAAACTAGAAACCATACAATTGAATTTCATTATATTATTTTCGGTCAAAGTAAGATGAGAAGCCATACACGAATAGAAAAAAGAATAACTATAAAAAGAAAAAAAAATTGAGAAATAATCTTATATTTCGGAACCAAATACGCAACAAAAATCGAATGTTTTCATTCATGGATTACTAGATTGCTATAGAAGAGAAATTACTATCCACAGATTGTTAAATTGCTATAAATGAAAAAACTAAGGTCCAAGGATTGTCATTTTGTTGTAGATGAAAATGTGCTGGCCATGGATTGTCATTTAAGTCCTCACCACCTCTCTTCTTATTTAGTCTATCATTCAACTACATCAATTCTATTCTGAGTATAATACATCTTCCTTTCACCACTCAAACCAATTAAAAGTACTTAAACCTAGAAATGTCCACTTAAAATTTAATCAACTCCTTTCTTTTAGAATTTCAGATAATGAGTTTTTTTATTATCTTTCTTTCAATTAATACATAGCTAAAGTAAATGAGGCCTGATTTTGATGGAGGCATACGGATTTAAAGAGAGATACGATGAAAGTATCCAAATTATCCTCTTTGTTTTCTCGAAGAATAGTGTTGATGGCCTTTTGATTACCCCAAGAGAAGGCCCTTCTCTGTCTATAATAGTATACATGTGCATATTCAATGTGTGAGTGAGTATCAAGATTATATTTAAAGTATCAACAAAGATATCATATAAACGAGATAAAACCTCTCCCTATCAAATATGGATCTACAAAACCAGAATCCACAAAAGGTTTTTATATGTGCAAAAGCTGGAATATTAATCTTAGCACCTCTAGTTGCATGACTAAATAAATCTATTCCTGATACTCACAAGTTCCATTCGCTACAGCATGGGGTACCTTCAATGGAGAGGTTGTATAATATGTTGTTCACTACAACTTAGAGAGGCCATATACTCCATTATTCTAAATCTCTACAATCAAATTAAATGATTTAGTTTCTTAATGGTTGGTTTGTCTAGAAGACCATAATACAATAATTAACACATGACATGCAAGTAGCGGGGGACTTAGTGGAGGTATGATCTAACAGAACTGGCCGCTAGGTTCAGCAAGAGAAAGCTTTCGGTCCAGCAGGAGACTGAATCGCCCTCCTCTCTTTTTTATAGGGCATGAATTATACCCCCCCCCCTCTTTCTTTTTCTATTTTCCCGCCAATATATCTATTATAAATGTGTTTGTTATCTTAGAGGGTTTAGTTCGTCTTTTTTATTTAAAAATTCTATCCAGTTTGTCATCGACGATTGCTTTCCCTCTAGGGTTGTATCTGAAGGCGAGAAGATACTCCGACTATAACTCGTCCGAGGTAGTGACCGTCTTCGAGGTCGGAGTGGTGCTCCGACTATAGCCCGATCATACGAGGATATTTATCCATCTCTCCTACGAGCTCACCCTTGCTGTAGCCGAACCATCCTAGCCTTCCAGATTTTGTCGCAAACCCCTTTACCTCCTTTCAAACCCGCTGTAATCCGTCCCAAGCCTTCTACACCCAGCTAGACATTCTTTTGTGACGCCGATCTAGATTTGTGGGATAACATAAAAAATGGATAGATAAGTTCTAAGATAGGTAAAAAAGGCGTGAGGAGCGATCGCGGCGGCAATTCAAGCTAACCAGCTGGACAGTGCACCGGCTGGAAGAAACACTGGATTTCTACTGTCAAACGGCATGTGGCAGCAAGTTCAAAGAGAAAGGAAGCCTTCAAACTTTCAGGAGAGATTACCACCTCTATCAATCAGGTTATAGACCTATCACCTAATATAAATCAAAAAATGCAATACTCCAGTAGATAAAACAGGAGAAAAAAGTCATCAAATAACATAGACCAAGCACAAAATTCCTCAACCAGGTTGCACATAATATATTTATACTAGTATCTACATTAAACCCTAATTAGAAGTCAAAATATGGAACATAAGGGTCCATAAAACCCATAATAGTTAAAATAGCGGGAAAATTCCCAGACATATCCGTTTCGATCCCAAATCGCGGGATTCCCGCGATGCTCCGCCCTTGAATCATTTTGTCATCAGAAGTTCATGAAAAATCTCCAAAAATTGCATGATTGAAGCAAATTTAAAATTAAACTACAAACTTATAGAGCTGCATGCCGACACAAGTTTCAACTATCATTTATTGGAAGATACCTCTGTTGACAAAAAAAGAAAGCAGAAGAAAGAGTAAATACCTTTTCACAAGGCCCTTTCGGTGAACAATTAATGCTGGAATTAAGTATACTGGAAGATAGACAGGCAACGCCCTTCCATATTCTTCAATAAGAAAAGATACAAAATGGCTAGTGCAGGATTGATCGCCATGAACAATCTGCATACAGATGGAAGTATTATTTTTCCAATTTACCCAAGTTGTATAAGAGACGAAGAAGCAATTATCTTTAGAAAACTCATAACAAGAAACAAAGTGCAAACATTCTCATTGGGACATTCAACTACCCAATGCATCATAATAACAAAAATACAACGAAAAAGATAATGGAGAGAAAAAAAATCAAATACAAGATAGCACAAAGAATCAGATGCGGGTGGCTCTCACCATTGGACTCCCAAGTCCCACGAGGGGCTCAGAGCCGAACCGAACGACACTATTTCGATTTACTTCTAATTTTTAGAAAGTTCCCTCCTCTTTTCTTCTTCCTTTCCAATCTTTTCCAATATATGTGTTGTATTAGAATTTGGATTGAAGTTTTTTTGTTCATTTTGTGTCGAGACAGCCATCAGCATATCTTATTTCCTTTGAGGGTTGTATCCTAGGGTTCCAAATGGTGCTTCAGTTGTATGTTGGTATCCAAGTGGTGCTAATCTTCCATATCCCCTTCTGCATCCTCCACACATCGCTCCCAGCCACGGCTATTGCTGCAGCTGCCCCAGAACAACAATCGTATCCTCGCTGCCACAGCCCCGACAACCGTCCTCTTGCTGTCTTGCAGTCCCACTCATAGGGATGTCAAAAAAGCTCGTTGTTCGCGAACAGCTCGTGCTCGACTCGTTAAGTAGCTCGTGTTCAGCTCGTTCGTTAAGTATACGAGCCGAACACGAACAAATTTTTAAAGCTCGAATTATAAACGAGTCTAACATGAACAGCTCTTTGTTCGTTCGTGTTCGGCTCGTTTTAGCTTGAAATAAAAAAATTATATAACTTTTTATATAACAATATATATTATTTATATAATAATATATTATATATATTTATGTCTAAGTTTAAATCATGACACCTCATGTGACAATGTGGTTAGTGTCTTCTTTTGTATATATTTGATCCAGGTTCGAATCCCACACTTTACATATATTTTTCTCAATTTAAGTTTAACGAGCTAATTTCAAGCCAAACACGAGCCGAACACGAACACACTGTTCATGAGCCGATTTAGAACACGGGCCGATTTCGAACACGAGCTATTTCGAAAGAGCCGAACACGAGCCAAGCCTGAGCTCGCTCAAGCTCGGCTCATTTACAACAGCCCTACCCCCGCATCCCCTATCGCTATCGCCATCGCCATCGCCATCATTCCCCCTCTCTATCGCCACCCGGAGCAGCACCTATTTGTTGTTCACTTGCAGTTCCAACCATCCAGCCACCCATTTCTCTCATTCCAGTTAGTTATCATTGCCGCAACTCCTCCCCTTCGCTGCCATCCTCCTCCCTTTCACCGCAGCCTAGGACAGCCCCTCCCAGCCACTTCCCCGTTGTACAACCCTCTCTTTCTTGCTGCCCCCGCCTAGGACAGCAATCACACTTGTCATTCTTGTAGCTTTCCACCTCACTCTTGCAATTTCCCCACACCTTTGATGTCTCCACGCCTTCTAGCCCTTCTCCCACCCTTTGCTAACTCTACGGAGGACCAAACCTTCGCCGATTACCTCCATCACCCTGAGATCAACCATGATTTGAGTGTTTTCATCATGTTTGTTGCAATTTCTATTTTCATTTGTGAGATTGTATTTCCCTATTTTAAATTCAACAATAATGGTTGATTTTCTTATTGTTGTTTGAGTTAACTCCGAAATCATTTGGTATCAGAACCAGTCTAAATCAAGTCCTATCCTAGGGTTTCTAGCATCCACCTAGACCAAAGCCCTATCTCCACCCAAAGTTTTTCTTTCCCACCCTACATCGCCCTACACACCTCAATCCACTTATCCACGCCCAAACCCTATAACAACTCAACGGTTCTGAGGAAAATGCCCAGAGGAGGCCAAGAGATGAAGTGTTTGTTGAAGGATACAGAGATGAAGTGTCAGTTGGATAATACATAGTCAAGGGAGTGAAGGTGGACTTACCAGATTTCAAGTGGCTACAGATCCTTGAGTGACGTTCAGACCTTAGCATTGAAGGTGGAGAAACAACATAAGCAGAGTAAACACCCACCGCCATTCAGTTAGTCACCCACAACAAAAGACATCAATGTAAGCACACGTAAGGCAATTGAGAATTTTGGTCAAGAAGATGATAGAGCTACTATTGAGAATTGGACCTTATTTAGGGTCATATTGGTAAATAAAGAATATTGAAGAAGTCTAGGGGTTTTATCTGTAAAATATTGTAATACCCTATTTAAGCCCATGTTATGAATGTACATAAGAGATTTTGAGAGAAAATTTTCAATTTGGTATCAAAGACCTAGCCGCTTGCTGCTCGGCGTCTTTCTCGCAAAACAACGGCTGTCCATTCGGTTTGGATCGTCGTACAGATACCCGGATCGGCATCCCGAGACTCACAAATTTTCACTTTGATCCTTCAAAGCAATCACGGTTAGAGCTAACAAAGCCATGTGCAGAGAGACGAGAGCCGCTTCGGTGGTCTTTCGTACACAGCAGTACTGTAGTTGCCTTCTAAATGGGCTTTAGCGGCGAAAGAAGGGGTGGGAGGAACGTTTCCATGGACTGGTAAATGATGAATGTTGCTTTGGTGGCCAACGGTTAAATAGTTGAAGACGGCGCCAACTCTGACAGATCCATTAGAAGGCGACAGAAGGTTGATGCCAAGCTGTTGGCGGCAGCGTTGATCCTGCGCAAGGAAGAAATAATCAGAGCAAGGATTCGTTTCTGGAATTCCACTCAACAATAGGGAGACGAAAGACCAAAGCAGTTGCAATTTTGCGTGCGAGAAGAGGGGTTGCGGCTTCATACGGGCTAAGAGCGGATCGAATGAACTTACAGGAAGTCGTGTGTGATCTGAGTGATCTCAACTTGGAATCTTGTGGTTGTGGATGTCGGGAAACGTAGATAGCACAAAAGATAAAGGATTAAAACTTATAGGAAGATAGATCTTGAAATTCTGAGGGTTTTGATCAGACTCATACAGGAAGCAAGGGTCTCGACGGGAACCGCTATCTCGACATATGCTCTAATACAAGTGAAGCAAGATCTCCCTCATGTGGATAAGAAACTTGATAGACCAGCCATATATCTGAGTTGATCACATAAAATCGAGGCTGCTCTAGTAGAGAAAATACTAGAGGGATATCTGATGAAAATCAAGACAAAGAGTGATAGTGTTGAGAGGGATGAGTGCAAGGTCACACATGCCTTGTTTTACACATGACTACTCAACTCGATGTTTACATCGATTATCTCATTAATAGATGACATTCGAAAGGTGAGCGAAATTCGGGCGAAGCTGAAAATCTATGCGGAAGCTGAAAATCATATGAGGGTATTTCAGATTCAGTATGAGATGGAGACAGTGGTTCAAAGTGATAAATCAATTCAGGAGTAGTCCATAGAGCTGGAGCAATTGTGAGCAGATCTTGATCACTTCTCACTGATGTCGAGCTCTGACGATCCAAAGTGCAAGAAAGGAGAGATTTTCACACAACTGAGAACCATGTAGTTTGTAGCCAATCTAAACCCAACCTTTAATCAGAGGAGATCTGTCCTCCTAGCTCAAGTGACTATCCCTTCACTAGTTGAGGCCATTGCTACGATGAAACAGGAGGAGAATCGCATGAAGCTACACTCTGAGTCAAGTGGACTTTCGGGTGCACATCAACTTTAGCTGCCTTGAGCTCAGATATAATAGGTGTCCAAGGGCAAACTCGCAAGTGCAACAACTGTGGTAAAGTTGGGCGTCTAAGCAGAACCTGTCCTGGGCCACCCAAGGAGAGAGAGACAGGTGGATATGGATAGGGTAGAGGTAAAAGTCGTGGTCATGGTAGTGGTGGACGGAAAATGAAAAGGGGGGGCCACCGGGCAAATCTGATGGTAGCAGAGGTGGGAGAGACATGCAGTTTTTACCAATGAGGATCATAAGTGTTTGAAGTTGTTGAAGAGGAAGCAAAAAAAAAATAGATGGGGTTGAAGAGGCTTCCAACCAGTAGCCATCAAAGTGTAACATTGTCACTTATGCTCACTCTGACAAAGGAGCTTGTGATACACATGCTCTTGCCCTATTTCTTCCACAGGATCATCAGAATGGATAATAGATTCTAGTGCATCTCGACATGTGATAAGTCCTGCTAGAGAGTTTTCTTCATATACTACCCTAGCAGAACCAGAGAGCATCCAAACTACTGACAATACAACGCAACTTATAGTTGATAAGGGTACAGTGAATGGTACAATTTATATGACTTTGTCCAATATTTTGCATGCTCTTTTTCCAGTAAACCTATTATTCATCAGTGTCTTTATTCTCCAACTAAAATGTGTTGTTTTTTTTTATATTCCTAAGGTGATGTTACAACTAAAATACAAGGGTCGAACACTTCGGAATGGAACGTGGCAAGTGGACTCTGGTACAAGGACCGAGAGGGAATAGACTCAGCTTTGGCATACATGATAGAGAGTCCCGGAGTAGGAGAATCTGGGAGGAGTGTGAATAATGTGTTACAGCTACATCATAGAATAATATGACCCTCTTGTTTTGGTTTATTGAGTCGATTGTATCATTCTTTGTATGAAAAGACATGTAAATAAAATCTTGTTTGTGATGCTTGTAAGTATAATAAACTTACTAGCATTTCTTATATCAGTTTTGAGAATAGAAGTTGTGTTTTTGCCTTGATACAATCTGATGTTTGGGGACCTTGTTCTACAAGTTTAATGAATTGTTATCAATATTTGTGATTTTTATTGATTGTTTTTCTCGTGTTAGTTGTTTATATTTGTTGAAAAATAAGGATGATGTGTTTGCTTGCTTTAAAGATTCATACAAAGCAATCTAGACTCGATATGATGCAGTAATGAAGTTATTGAGGTCTGATAATGAAACATAGTATACCAACAAAGTATTTGAGGAATACTTGTCAGGCCAAGGGATACAACATCAAACCACATCTCCATATGCATCGACACAAAATAGAGTAGCAGAGATAAATAAATACATCTTCTAGAGGTAGCTCGAAGCAAGAAGATTGCAATGAATATCCTAAAGCACTTATGAGGCAAGCAGTTTTGACAGCTGTTTAATTAATCAACAGGATGCCTTTGAGGGTATTGGATTGGAAGTTTCATTGTCACATATTGAAAATAAATAACGGGATCCTCCCATTGAACGTGTTTGGATGTGTATATCTTGTGAAAGATAAATTGTCAAAAAGGAAGCTGAATTCGAGAACTGTGAAATATGTGTTTGTAAGTTATTCTGATATCAAGAAGAGGTATGTCTGCTGGAGCCCGAACGAGAAGAGATTGTTTGTGAACTTAGAAGTGTCATTTAGTGAAGTTGAACCGTACTACACTCAATAGATGACCTCACCTTCTGGTAACTCGTAAGATACTAAATATATGAGGCAAGGGAGGTCAGTAACAATAATGAGAGAGTGGTACAAGTGGGAGAGAATGCCTAGTCTTGTGATGTGGGATGAATCAGTTGAAAAACCAGAAAATAAGGAGAGTGAACTCGGAGACTGAACCCAGAGGTGGTGGGATTCAAGCTGAAGATGAGCTAAGGGTGTATACACAAAGAAGGAAGCTAAATAAGGGAACAGTGCTTGCGGTGCTACTTGTGTCAGCTAATCTTTTGTCTCAGTCTTCCCCGACCCTTCAGACACCTACATCATCCATCTACGACTCAGAACTCCTAGGTGATATGCTTTCTCCTCCTCCTCCTAAGCCCCCAACATTAAGGACTTCTTTCAGCAATGCGGGAAATCCTCTGGATTGTTTTGGGTGGTAATATTACATTGCTAACTTTTTTTTTTCATATTCTAACATATAACCTTTACAAAGAGCATTCATTGTATATTTAAACAATGTCTCTATACCAAAGTGTTGACAGGTTGTTAAGGAAGATCCTAAATGGAAAACAGCTATGCATGAAGAGCTTGGGACTCTCGATAAAAACCGAACATGGTCGATAGTGCCACTACCAATAGGAAAAAGACTGTTGGGTGCAAGTGAATCTTGACAGTGAAGAAAACTCTAAAAGGGAAGGTGGAGCAGTAGAAGCACAACTGATGGCGACAGGATACAGTCAAACATATTGTATTGACTATAATGAAACCTTTGCACCAGTAGCAAAAATGAGCACAGTGAAAACACTGATTTCTCTGGCAAAAAATTGGTGAGTGGAGATTACACTAACTTGATGTGAAGAATGCATTTCTTTATCTTGAGTTACTGAAAAAGTATATATGAAAAAATCACAAGGACTCGGTACAGTCTAGGCAGTTGGTAAGGTGTGTAGGCTCGGGAAATCGTTATATGGCTTGAAGCGGTCTTCTCGAGCCTGATTTGACAAGTTTAGAAAAACTATCATGGGCAATGTTGACCATACGGAGTTCTTTTGACAACAAAAATGTCACACCACTATACTTATTGTAAATGTTGATGACATCATTGTTGCTGGTGATGATGAGACAAATTGTCCAACTAAAGGTAGTATTGGGCAATGAATTTGAAGTGAAGAGTCTTGGATAGCTCATATACTTTCTTAGGATTAAAGTGACCCATGGACCTGAGGGGATGATCTTCTCTTATGTACGAGATCTCCTCACGAAAACAAGCATGTTAGGGTGCAAGCCCGCAGTCTCTCCAATAAACTAAAAAGCCAAGTTGAGTGTAGAGGCAGGAGAGCGGATTGCTCGTGAGAGGTACCAGAGATTGATATTCCATCTGATCTATCTGAGTCACCCTCAAACTGACATCTCTTTGAAATAAGTGTGGTGAGCCACTACATATATGATCCAACTTATGGATGAACATACATGATCCAAGGAAGGGTCATATGGATGCAGTGTATTAGATTACGAGGTACCTGAAAAGTACACCAGAGAAGAGGGAATTGATCTTCATGAAGAATGAGCATGTCGACAATGAGGGTTTTGGTGACGCTGATTGGGCGAGTTGTGCAGATGACAGAAGATCCACCTCAAGATATTGCATGTTCGTAGGGGGCAACTTGGTCCCTTGGAAGAGGAAGAAACAGTCTATAGTAGCGAGGTCAACAAAAGAGGCAGAGTACAGGGTCAAGGCCTTAAGAGTTGTTGAGATGATGTGGCTAAGATCCTTGTTGAGTAAGCTCAAGGTGGACCACGAAACTCAAATGAAGTTGTGGTGCAACAACAAGTTAGCAACTAGCATTGCCAACAACCCGGTGCAACACGATAGAACCAAACATGTGGAGATTGATAGATTTTTCATCAAGGAAAAGCTGAATAATGAGCTACCAAAGATAAGTTATTTAGCCACTGGAGAGCAAATGGCTGACTGCCTCACTAAAGGACTTAATTCACTAAATTTGTCTAGGTTATATGACAAGATGGGCTTAGTGGATATCTTTTGCCCATCTTGAGAGAGAGTGTTGAGAATTGGACCTTACATAGAATCATATTGGTAAAAAGGGAATATTGAGCAAGTCTAGGGGTTTATTTGTAAAATGTTGTAATCTCCTATTTAAACCCATATTATGGATGTACAGAGGGATTTTGAGAGAAAATTGATAGAATCGGCCGGCTAAAGGAGGATCTGACAGTTGGAAGGAAGTCCTAGCAAGCTGGACTGAGGATCTGGAGGGGCATCCAGTTGGCTGGAGGAAGAATCTGCACCTTGAAGGATCCTCATGAAGCCAGATCGAACAGCTAGCCGCTAGAGGAAGAACCTACGCCTGAACTGAGGATCTGGATCGAACGATCAGAGGGAGACTTAACTCAGGAACCAACGTTTGCCAGCCGACGACTAAGGGAGAGACCCAACAGCTGGGTTAGAACCAAGCTCTAATATCGTGATAACTTTGAGAATAAAATCAAGATAAATCTTATTGATGCAAAGAGGGGTATAAATATCTATTACAGGGTCTGCTAGTCAGGAATGAAATAAAAACATGATACAAAAAAAAAAGAAAAGGAATAATAAAAAAAATCCAAGCTAATAATGCCTAATAAATAGGAATTAATAATGGCTAAAACTAGTGATTAATAAATATTCTAATAGCCCCCATGTTGGTAGAGAAGCTATTCCATGATTCAAAGAAAAGACTTCCATATTACAATAGATATTATTTAAAATTTGCAACAAACCTTTCGTCTTGAAAATGAATTATTGTAAGAACCAAAAAAAAAAAAAAACAATGAAAAAATACATGAATATTGAATTATTTGAAGTTAAAAAAGATGGCATTAATTACGCACTGAGCAAGGCACTTTCATGTTTGGGTCTAGTTTTAGATTAGAACCCATAGATTTGTAGTGTTTCTGTAGTGTTTCTCTATCACATGTGTTTCTCTATCACATCCAAGTTCATAAATTGTGCGTTGGTTGCAAGTTCTTTAACACCCTGTAGAATAGGAGCAGCTTTTCCACCATGCTTATTAAGAAATGCTTTATATGATGGTGGGAGGCTTTCTTGGTTCAAAATGTAAGCAGACCTGCAGAACAATTGCACTAAAATGAGACTGCTCGCTTCTCTATGAAATAAAAAAAGCAGAATGAATAATGCTGAACACAAAATTAATAAGATGAACAATTATCTGAGCATATAATTTTATATGAAGTGTGGCAGTTATCATCTATTTTGAAAATCCCATCAATGTATTTGAATGGGCATGAAAAAAATTATCATGACAGTGAAATGTGAAATAAAACAACACGAATGGTCACAAGTCGGGACACTGCTGGCGCTTAATCTTTAATAAGATATGCATAAAAGTGTTTTCGTATATAACCGAACTGTAGCTCTGATCCAAATTCTCATACACGAGGACTGGAACCTCGACTTCCTAGTATGAGATTAAGAAAAATGAAAGGGGAAAAAGTTTATGCCTGACAAGATCCAGTAGGTAAATATCGCCATCCAAAGTAGTTCAGAATAACCAACATAGAAGCTTTATTTTAGGGAGAAGAGTGAATTCAAATCATTAGCGATTGAGAGAGAGAAATGAAGTGTCTTTACAGAAGCTGGAGTTGCAAAACTGAAAAGCTGCTACCCACATGCCCAAAGCAAGGATAGACTTGTTTATGCTTGTGAAATTAAACTTAATCAAATCCTTATACACATTTCTTACAGGACTGCTACCTTCACAGAAAAGGGTTTTCTCCCTTCCAGGTAGGAGCCAGAGTTAGGCTGCTTTTAGCATCTGCGTTGATGGTAAAAATATTTCATCTTTCAAAATGAATTAGGGCTGCAAATTAAATATTTGATCTTCAATTTGCTTTCTTAATTTTGAAAAGTTATATTTGAGATATTCTAATGACAATGACATGCTCTTGATATTACTGGTGGCACCTTGTGTTGCATACATTGTGAGTGTCCCTTTTGCATATCGTGAGAGCTTAGTTGACTTCATTTTGAGGTAACACATATCCTTCATAAATCTTAGTAAAAATCTTAAAATTGGTGTTTTCAAATTCTATACATCGTGTGTTCCAAGATTTATTAAGAAGGTCAGTCAAGTGTTGGAGTAGACTAGTTAATGGGCATCACCTAGTCAGCTTTGGTCCTTGGGTCAGCTCCATAGTGTCTTCTGGGAGTACTAGGACCAAGTTCTTACTAAGAGATCGACTTTTTATTTCCACTCAGCTCAGCAATGGAATAAGTGAGTTTACATAATATTTTTGTTTTATACAAAGCCAATTGGGTTTTGACTAGTTCTCGTTTGTGCTCCTTCCAACTTCATACCATAGCATATAATCATGCTGAGGGTGCACTTAAGACACCATGCCCATCTTGATTGGTTGACCTAATTGCACACCGCTAATTCTAACCTGGTCAACTTAATGAAACTAGTTAAACGGTAACTTGTCTGTATTAAATTTCAGTTTGAAGTTGGTCGAAGAGTTAGCTCTTGGGGGACTGATTTTTAATATCTTGCCAAAAGTAATCAGAGCTATCCATGCATGACTAGTTATACCATAATATTGGGTGAGTAAACCGTTATGCTTTTCGATTTGAGAGTGCTTGGTCACATAAGTATGCGATCTAGTGAAGCTGGTTGGAACAATTTTGTTATGAGATATCGTCATAAGTTGCCATGAGAATGAATCTAATCTCCTACATCAAGGACCATTTCTCATAATCTCCGTCATTTCACGCTTATCTTACTTTCATACGAAGTGGTAATCTTTTTAATGTTTAACCGATCGAATTTTACAACCACAACAACAACAACAACAACAACAACAACAACAACAACAACAACAACAACAACAACAACAACAACAACAACAACAACAACAACAACAACAACAACAACAACAACAACAACAACAACAACAACAACAACAACAACAACAACAACAACAACAACAACAACAACAACAACAACAACAACAATCTTTCTTAACAAAAGTCGAATCTAAAACATCTCCTCTCCTAATTCGGATCTCAGATGGTCGGCGTTTAATGTGACCAAACCATCTAAGACGGCTTTCTCTAATTTTGTCCGTCACAGGAGCTACACCAACCCTATCACGAATATATTCATTTCGCATTTTGTCTCTAAGTGTAAAGTCACTCATCCACCTAATCATTCTCATCTCGGCAACACTTAACTTATTATTATGCTTTTCTTTTAAAGGCCAACATTCAGCTCCACAGAGCATTGCAGGTCTCACCACCGTCTTATAAATTTTTTCTTTCAGCCTAAGCGGTACTTTTCTATCACACAAAAGGCCTAAAGCATTCCTCCACTTCAACCAACCAACTTGAATTCTACTATTAACATCCCCATCTATATCACCATCGCTTTGAACAACGGACCCAAGATCGTCCACAGCTTTTAATGATTTAATTACCCAAAGTCATACTTCTGTCACTAGAGCTATTACTACTAAAATTACATTCCATGTATTCAGTTTTAGTTCTACTTAAACGAAGGCATTTAGACTCCAATGTAGACCTCCATAATTCAAGTTTTTCTTAAGCTTTTTCTCTCGTTTTATCCACGAGAAGGATACCATCAGCAAAAAGCATACACCAAGGTACATCCTCCTGTAGATGTCCAGTAAGACCATCCATAACTAAAGCAAAAAGATATGGGCTTAAAGCCGATCCCTGATGTAATCCAACAGAAATAGGAAAATATTTTGTCAATCCTACTTCAGTTTGAACACAAGTAACAGCTCTTGTGTATCCACTTTATTCTTCTATAATTTGCACACTCTTGTGTATCCACTTTATTCTTAAAAATGGGGACCAAAATACTCTTCCTCCACTCCTCATGCATCTTTTTAGTTTTTAAAATAATATTAAAGAGTATAGTAAACCAAGAAACTCCCAAAGCCCCCAAATATTTCCACACTTCAATTGGGATATCATCAGGTCCCACAGACTTTTCTCGATTTTCTTTAAAGCCTCCTCAACTTCTTTTTTACTAATTTAATGGTAAAAATTAAATATTTTATTATTATTAACGATATTAAAATCACTACGGTCGATTGTATTTTCTGAAAATATTATAACCAATTATGGAATTTTACAACCAATTATGGAAAAATATTATAAGAGCAAGCAGTTAAAGAGGGCATTCAGCACGAAAAAAATACCAAAATAAATTTAATCAAGATAACTTAAAAGCTAAGAGATTAATATCTAAGCATGAGGAAAGAAAAAATCCCAAATTTAGATGCTTGGCAAATCCAAAATGCCAAAGTCATCAACAGAGTTATTGTGCCTAAATCTAGGTGAGAAAAGAAAAAAACCAATTTGCAATTTGCGCCTCCCCAGGAAGCACAAGCTTAAAAAATGTATCCACTAAATCAGTCAAACTTTTGATTGAATCTTGAGACTGAACTTAGCTGGAGTTATCAAAAACCTCCACATTAAAACAAGGGATAGTTACATACAAACCACCTAAACATTGATATTTACAAATTAAGCACCCAAATGATTTTTTTGAACTACAGAACTGATGTATTTACGCATGCCACAATCAAACTATTGATAATTTGATAAAAATGAAAAACAAGGGTTGGGATTTTACCATGAATTTTGATATTTAAGTGTGAATTTGAAAAATGGATGAAAGAGGGTGGTTGATTTATAAATAGCATGTTTTGTGTGGTCTCTATGTAATTTCCCCTTAAAACATTCATTGTCATTGCTGGGTAAGGAACTGAATTTTAAAAAAAAAGAAATTTAAAGAGTACCCAGAGCTTGAGAGCACCCTACAAGGACCAAGTCAAAGGGAGCATCTTCCAAGAAGTTGTCACGCTCCAATTGATCATAAGAATTAACCACACAAATGTCTTGTGAGCTTGAATTAATGATCAAGCGAGCAATCCCTAATAGAAGGGCCTATAGAAGAAGATTTTCTCAATTTTAGACATGCATAAAAAGCAATCAACAAAAACATGACCAAAGATTTTGCACAGCTAGCAATATGAGAGCAAACCCATACATTCGAATTTTACCCAATAACAATGTGTGAATAGGCAATTCATATACCCTTGACAAAGGAGCTAAAATGTCTATCTCAACAATAACACAAACCACTGATGTATTGTGAACCTGAATTAATGATTATAAGATTAACCACACAAATGTCTTGTGAGCCTGTATTAATGATCAAGTGAGCAATCCCTAATAAACGGGCCTATAGAAGAAAATTTTCTCAATTTTAAACATGCATTAAAGCAATCAATATAAACATGGCCAAAGATTTTGCATAACTAACAATATGAGAGCAAACCCATACAATCAATTTTTTGCCAATAACAATGTGTGAATAGCCAATTCATATACCCTAAACAAAGGAGAAAAAATGTCTATCTTAATAAGAACCCAAGGCACTGAGGTTCAAGAGAGTTTGGTGGTAACGACATCCACTTGAAGTGATTTCATCAAAATTAATTCTAAAGAGTATGGTATAGATCGACTGATCTAGTAGACACAAAGGTGGGGGAGTATAACCCAAATTGAAAGTAATAGGAGGCTTCTTAGAACTATCAAATTAGGGAGACCATTTTAGTATATGCATCGATAGACCATTCATATAATATGAGTGCCAAGAGATAAATTTTATATATCTGATTGCAATATATTTTGATAAGTGCGTCATGATAGTCAATATGTACAATAGAGAAATCAACAGATAAATGAAGATTATTCAAGGAGGAATAGATTACCTCCAAATTGAGATGGCCAAATCTAAATTTTCTAGCTAAAGAACAGATAAAATAGGCCACCGCAAAAGAAATTTCTACCTTATTAAAACAAAAAGTTGGTTTATAATAAAATTTAAAGTGTTACTTGTGTCACAAAGAGCTCATGATATGTTGAGAAAATAAAAGAAAACGAAGGGGAATCCTTTTCAGAACCCTTATCTCAAATAAAATCAACAAAAGAAAATGGAAGTGCTATCATGAGATTAGAGAAATAAAATCCAAAAGATTTCAAAAGTAATAGACGGACTATCAAAAATTTCAACCA